CAGAAAGTTAAATCGAGTTGCTTACAAATCCGTACTTGTGAAAAAGGAGGAGAAAATGAGCAAATCTCCCTGACTGCGTCTTCAAAGGAAGCTTGGGCCCCTCCCCAGCTTCGAAAGGTGCCTTTAACAGGCTCGTAGGCTGTAGGGACAGCTCCTAGGAAGTGGGGTGCAGCCCGAAGCGCTGGCCAGCTGTGCCCATGACCCCAGCCAGGCTCCAGGCACTGCAGCTCGCGCCGGGTGGAGGAGAAAAGCCCCTGCCTTCCCCTCTCTCCCAGTCAATGAGTGAAACTGCTCGCACACAGCAGGACTTCACACCAGCTGAATCCCCCTTCTGCAACACTACTGCAGACACTCCCGTTTCCTAAGATCTTGCTGGTTTGAAACACTGTCTTTTTAGTTATCTTTCCTAGTGTATGGGGTGACCAGGAAGATTTATCAGCAATTTAAGCGTGGAGAGAAAAGGGGCAGGGGCAGTGGGCTGTCAACGTTAGACTATTAGACAAGAACACATCCCCCACAAGCGTGGTGCAGTCAGGAAAAAAAAAAAAAAAAAAAGAAAAACAAAAGGAGGGCCTCCCTGCAAAGCTCCTTACAGCAATTGAGTCTGAAGAAATATGCCTCCCTCGGGACTCTTCTTACAGCTGCCAGACTTATGAGGGCCACACGCTGCTGCATTATTAATATGGTGTGTTTAATTAGCACATACATGTTGTGTCGGATTTGTTTTGAAATCATACAAAACTACACGCATCGTGCAAACTCCCAGCATTAAAATGACAAAATAAATTGTGTCTTCACTTGGCAGCAAGTTGTGCCAGTAACACACTGTGGGGAAAAAAAAAGGTTGAAAACGAGAAAGAGAGAAAAAAATAAATGGGAAACTGAAATAAAGAGATACTGAAGGAGGGGAAGGAGTTAATCAGCTTCCTCTTAGGGCACTAAAATTGAAGGAAGATTTCAAGGCATTAACAGAGCTAGCATTTCTGGAATGTAAAATAGCATTCGTATTACACAGCTCGATACCATGCTAGGAATCAATATTCTCTGAAATGCAGGAGAATTTAAGAAGGTCGTTGCTTTGTGTAATCATGGTCCTTTCGGTAGCGCTTCCCCATGGGATTCGCAGGCTGATAGTTTCTCATGGAGGGCTGACAACTTTTCTTCTTAACGAATATGAAGGTTCTCTCAGGTCAATGACAAGCTAATGGGGAAAGGAATGTTTCCCGATCCCAGGTTCATTAAAGCCTGAAATCTATACCAAAGAGCGTTGCATAGCTTTCCTCACGTGAGGAGGTCGTGTTCAGCCAGATCAGCAGAGATGTTCCCACTAACCATCCACCCAGTAAATGCAGAGGTGCTGCAGCGTGAGGTCCTCGACTGGCCCTTCCTTCTTGGCTTGATGGAGCCTGAATTTATTTCCTTAAGGTCATGGTTCAAGGTCTGCTGATAACGCTAGCATTTCTCCGAGGAGTTTCAGCAGACAGACGAGTTACCACTGAGGGCCTGATTGAGATTGTATTTATCTGTTTATATTGGAACTTGCTTTACATTTATTGTCTGCAGTAGCACATGTGACCTCCGAGGCCTTTTAAAATTAAGAACACTTTATTAATGCGAATATGAGCTCCTTGTCCGTTTTTCTTGTTTGTGCCATTCCTAGCTGAGTGGGGGTTCTGTCTGACTGAGCTCCTAGTTGCTATGGCAATACGAGTAATAAATAAATAGTAAAAATAATGCATTGGAATAAAATATTCTGATTTTGTAAGCATGTTCGCTAGGATAGTAATAACAGCACTTCCTACAGTTTAGTGTTTCTGAGCATTATTTCCATACTGGGGTGCCCAAAAAAACGTGTTAATGATGTCATGCCTTATAGACGCTATAAAATGGTAATGCGGCTCTACCACATATTGCTGCACCTTTTTGGCAGTGCTGGTCATGGCTTCGATTCTCTGTCACCAGAGGTGTGCCTGGGAGAAGACGCAGCTTCCAGGAGCCAGGCACATCCAAACTGGTGAGTTTGCACATATGAAGGACAAGCAGTAACTTCATGGGTGTCTCTCTCCCTACACAATACCATAACATGCAATGTTTCATTCAAACAAAAACCCTTTTACACTTCTTTGTTTGTGCCAGAAGGCCACAAAATAGCTATAATTTGCATTTATACTTGCTTTAAAGAATATTTTTATTTATCATATAAAGTAGAATTAAGCTCATCCAGTCAAGATATGATTTTGCAGCATAAAGCTGTAGATCAAGAGTCCTATTTGAAAGTACTGCAGAATTGATGCTTCCTGAACAAAATCAAAATTAAGATATCTCTCTGTTTTTTCTGAATGTTTACTAATATGCATTTCCATTGTAAATGGACATAGGAGTTCTAGAAATAGAAATCATGCAGAAAAATAACGGGTTTTCTGCCTGTTTTGCAGGAAAAATAACAAATTGGGTGAAATCTGAAGTGTGTATAGATTTGTTTCTTAATTGAAAGAAAATCATATTTACTCCAATAAGAATGATACATAAGTACATACAAAGATAAATAGATATGTGCACATGTCTATGCATTTACCTCACAAAAGATACTGCTAGGTATAGTTATAAAATAAGGAAGTATAAACCGTCATTCTTGAACAGTGACAGATACCTGATAATATCCAGCAACTCCACTGGTCATTGAAATGCTTAAGCATATTTTTGCTTGTTGACACATTTCTAAAATAGGTGAAAAATTAAAGGTTAAAAATAGAAAGTATAAACATTATTGACTTACAAACAAAAAGGAAGGTTAAATCCACAGGGCTCAGAGACAGTACAAAGACCTGATGATATTTTGCAGATATAAAAGAAGCTCGTATTTCTAAAGTCAAACCTTGAAAAATGAAGTCGATAACTCTATGCATCTTCATTGTAATATATTTAACTACATAGGACTAAAGACCAGCAACAACACAGCCAATAGCATATGGGAATTGCGGTTGCTTACTACTGCAAGTTTTAAAATAAAGTGACTTCTTCTGAAATAGTTATTAGTTACAGAGAGCATTTCTGAAGAATTAAAGTACAGCAGTAACAATATAATAATAAATAGCTTATTTTCAGCTTTCTCCCAAATTTCCTGTGTTTCTTATGGAAGGCCTCGGCAGGGAAAAATGGGAAATTAAACAAAAAAAGAAAAGAAGAAAAAAAAAACAAAAACCAAACCACTAGCATATATTTATATATTTTTCCTACCTTTTCCCAAACTCTCTGGTTACAGAAGACCCTTTCCTTCAGCTCACTTCTTCATACAAGCAGAGTGTAATTTGGGTTTAAAACCTAACAGACATCCTTTGAAAGATGACATTGCATGGGACAAAAGTTAACTTGCAGTTCAACCACAGCCAAAGCAACATTCTGCTCTTCTGCTCCTTTGGGGACAGCAGGTTATTAAAGATCACCCTGAGAAAGAAAGTGGCCAAGCATGCAATGGGGGGGACCAGTAGGATGTGACCCTCATTTACCCAGCTCACAGCTAAATCACTGGCTTCTGACTGATGCTGTGTCCTGCAGGGGCAACATCCCTCCTAAGCATGCCAAGCAGGTAACACCCTGACCAGTAAGTAGGTGAGGTAACATCTGGCTTGTGGATCCTGCCAAACAGCCAAACGTTTGGTTATGTCAGGACTTTAGGCAATCAAGTGGATGCCTGACCACAGAAAACTGGTGTGTGTTATCAGGACAAAGAGAGACACCGGTGAACTTCAAACATCTGTAGTGCTGGGTGGGAGGTACATGAACACAGTGCTGTCTCCGGCACCAAGCCATCTCTTCCTCCTGGTGGCTCCAGCCCTCAATGTCAAACCCTAGGAAACACCTACCACCAACCTACAAAGCTAATTTATCATGACAAGCACAATGATCCAGGAGCAACAGCTGCCCTTCAACTCGTCCCTGTTTTCACTCAGATCAAAGAGACAAGTTGCTTGTTAGCAGCAAACCTGTGTCATTTATACTTATTAAGCCTAAAAAAATCAAGACCTAAAATAGGATCCACACAGTTTTTGCAGAGTTAGAATAATCAATACAAGTGGGTTCTGCATTAGCTCTATGTAGAGCATAACCTGAATTCTAAGGGTAAGTTTGGTTACTCTTTGTCTTTCCTGTCGAGCAGAGCATACACCACAGGGCCACTCACCCTCCCTCTATACCTTTGGCAAAGGCATCGGGCCACCCCTGCAGCACTGATCCACCGAGACTATTTCCAGGTTTCCCTGCTGAGACTTCATTAAACAGAATAACATTTGTGTTTGATAGCATTCTACATCAATGTCCACAATAACGTCAACGTCAACACCTGCTGCATTTGCACATGGCTTTCAGCCCCACAAGGCCGCAGCACGACAAGGAAGCCCCAGTGAGCTCTCCCCTCTCTTCCATTGACAATGAAGACCAAGGGTTTGGCAAAAGGTTTGTTGAAAGTGTTTACTGCAGCTGGAAGGAGAGATTTCTTTCACAGACTATTCCACGTGCGGACTGAGAAGGAAAGCAGAGTGCCCGGTCGCTGTGGGGCTGGTGGGGGGGTGCAAGTAGCTGTGGGAGCTGGGGAAAGGCACCTGGTTTGGAGATCACATCATTGCTACAATTACTCCAAACAGAACTAGAACTCGAACTCATAGTTCCCTCCTTTCTCTGCTAAAACTCTTGAGAAAATTCTCCTCAGCTCCTTAAAAAAATGATCTGCTGGCTTTCTGCTGGCTTGGAAACATAAAAAGGCCCAGCACCCAATCTAACCTTGATGCATATGTCACTTTTTGTTCATCTGCTATAACTTCAACCTTCTTTTCCACCCAGGAATATACATTCATTATGGAAGGAAGTCCACTCTGTGGCCAGCTTGGTTTTTCCCATGATGGTTGGTACAAAGTACTCAACCAAGCAATGGATCTGTCAGCACAAGACAATTTGGTTGGTGTGCTTCCCTGTGAGAACAGACCTCACTGCTGACTGGCTCCTTGTCAGTCCAAACCATTACCTGAAGTTTTCCCTGCCCATAATGCCTGTGGTATCAACGGACTTTGCTGGTTGGATCGAGTTCTCTTTCCTGGAGATACCTTCTTATTCTGCAACACTATTTCCCTCTTTGAGGCACAGCACAGAGCTCCTGCCGAATTCACGGAGTCCCGTTCACTGTTGCTCATGATCATTAGTGACTCTCTGGCATGGAACATGCCCTGGTGGCAGTGCAGGTGGTATGTTGTGGAAGCACTGCCGACATGGAATTATTTCTCATCATAGGGGGAAGGACACAGACTGTTATTTTTATCTTTATAAACCCATCTGGAAATCTTCAGCTCACCAGACTTTTTTTCTGATTAAGGCAGCCAGACTCTAACAAACTCCTGCTGGCTTATGTCTTTCACTGTGATGTGGAGCATCTTAATTCCAAGTGGTCAGAGTAAGGCAGCAGCATTTCCCTGCCCCTTTCGCATTCCTATGGCAATGAGCCTGGGCTGATTGCTCTGCATGCAGAAAGTCATCAAAAGCCAGAGGGAATTCTGCACTTGAAAGTGTTTCAGCCACAAAATGCAGCAAGCACCAGCAGCAACTCTCAGTGAGCTTCAACGGAATAATGGGTGTGTAGCACATCTGATGAACAAATGATATAGTACATCGGACATTCTTTGGGTATGCTGAATCTTGGCAGGTATTTTAGCAGTATCTCTTTTTCCCTAGGCGGTAATGCTATAATTTCTATACAACTGGGTGTGTATACACATGAAAAAGAACTGTTCAAAACAAAAACAATTCAAGTTTTTGACCAAGCTGGTGAAAGTCTCACACTGAGTGAAAAATTATGTGATTTCTTTAATGTTTCAGTGTAATCACTGAAAGTTCTTAGGCAAGTTGCCGAACCAGCTAAAGCTAATATTCAAATATACAGCTTTGTATTACAAAAGTATATTGAAACACTGCCCAATTTACTTGTGGGTTAGATGCAAAAAAAACACTCCTAAATTTCAAACTCAGGCATTGGAGCAATACAGAAAGCATAACCAAGTTACCATACAATGCTTTCTCATGGTGCTTGTTCCAGAGGCATTGTTATAGAAACAGAAGTCAGAATGTTCCTGATCCATAAAAAGTAGCTGCACTGGGTATAAACACAAAGTGAAATAACTTCTAAGTCATAAAAAGAAATTTAAAAAGCTCTAAATTTTAAAGAAGACTGCAAGAATGGACAGGAAAGAGCAGCTCAGATAAGATGTGGGGTTTTTAATGAGCTGTGACTTTTCCATAACCTCCAACTGCCAGCGTGTATGCTGCCTGTGAACATACAAGAAAATGATACTTTGACTACAGATACTCAGAGTCTTCAGGGGCAGTTATGCATGTAACAATGTCGTTTATCAAATAGCAAGAGCATATAGAGCATAATTAAAATGGGAAATTCATTGCTAAAACAAAGTTAAAAATAAAAGTAGAGCTACTAAATCGATGGAGGTCCACTGGTCTGTTAAACAGTCATTTAAAGGCAGCTTACAGTGTAGCAAGTCCTTAATTTTCTGATGGCCAGATGCTTGTTTCGGCAAAGACGGTCCTTCTGCATGCCCTAATTTGTAGACTTTTCTTAAACTGCTGGTCACCACCAGAAACAGGCTGCTGGGCGAGACTTTGGCCTGGTCCAAAGGGACACTTTTAAGCTCTTGCCATTAGAGCTGAGCAGGAAAGTAGGCAGTCCCTATTTCTCACTCTTCAAATGCGTAGAAACAGAGATCTTCCCCTTTGGTGCCTTCTCGAGGTCTCTGCACCATGGGCCCAGCATAGCCTTCAGTCACCCTCTGCTTTTGCCTCGTGCTCCCAAGTTGTGCCCACCTGGTCCCCACGCAGGTGCCTGGGCAAGGCATTCATTGCCGTTTAAAGGCTGTTTTTCCACCTGGGATCTACCTATAGCAGGGAAATCTAACAAACTCCCACTGGTTTGTGTCTTCACTGTGATACCAAGCATCTTAATTCCAGGCAGAAACATTTTGCTGGGGAGTGAGAGGACACATTATACCCCTTTTATCGGTACACAACCCCAGTCATATGTATGCCCACAGGAAGAAACATTTCCCATGCAGAGAATGACTCAGACTAGGTCAAAGCGGAGATGTAAGGAGAGTGGAGAAAAGTGAACAGTAACTGCAGTTTATAAAAGGTGGCATTTATCTTACCAGAGCGACAGCTGCTCACTGTGAATTTACAAGGAGGTATTGTGATTTTTCTGACTCTGAAGCCCACCCTTTAGGAAGCACTGATCCAGAATATGAAAAGACTGCACATGGTAAAAAAGTCATCTTTAAGAAGACAGGGTCAGATTGTGATGAAGCTCACTCACATTCAGTGGCATTTTCCTTCTGCTTGTGGCCCCATTGACATTAACACCATCATTATTGGTAAAATAAGGCTGAATAAAGTGCAGCTGCTGTTGCATTCCTGTTGGGTGCTGATAATTGATCACAGAATCACAGAATGGTCAGGGTTGGAAGGGACCTCTGGAGATCATCTAGTCCAACCCCCCTGCCAGAGCAGGGCCACCTACAGCAAGTTGCACAGGACAGCGTCCAGGCGGGTTTTGAATGTCTCCAGAGTGGGGTACGCCACCACCTCTCTGGGCAGCCTGTTCCAGTGCTTCACTACCCTCAAAGTAAAGAAGTTCCTCCTCATGTTAAGATGGAACTTCCTGTGTTCAAGCTTGTGCCCATTACCTCTTGTCTTATCACTGGGCACCACTGAAAAAAGACTGCTCCCATCCCCCTGGCATCCTCCCTTTAAGTATTTGTAAGCATTAATAAGACCCCCTCCTCAATCTTCTTTGCACTAGACTAAAGAGACCCAAGTCCCTCAGCCTCTCCTTGTATGAGAGATGTTCTAATCCCCTAATTATCTTTGTAGCCCTTTGCTGGACCCTCTCCAGCAGATCCCTGTCTTTCTTGAACTGGGGAGCCCAGAACTGGATGCAGTACTCCAGATGCGGCCTCACCAGGGCAGAGTAGAGGGGGAGGATGACCTCCCTCGACCTGCTGGCCACACTCTTCTTGATGCACCCCAGGATGCCATTCACCTTCTTGGCTGCCAGGGCACATTGCTCGCTCATGGTCATGCTGGTCATCCTGTTGTCCACCAATTAATAGATTTCAATAGATTCAATAGATTTCAGAATTTTTATTTTCTCTGAGTGCTCAGCTCTCCTGGACAGTAAGAACAGTTTGGGGTTCCCTTGGTCTTATAATGACCAGGTTATCTAATTTACTTTACGTCATCGTCTTGTGGTACCTCCAGCTGTGTTAGGGCTCAGGAGCGTGAGCTGCAACAACTATCAGGCATGAAGTTGACTGTTTATAAGATTAAACAATGACTAAGCTTAACAAAAAGCATAAACAGTGGTGTAATAAGGCTGTCATTGCAGCATAACTAGAATGAAATGAAACTGTTATAAAACATAACTGCATTTTATTATAGCAAAGTCAAACACAATCAGAAAACTGCTTCCTTTAAGTATAAATGTTCTACCTGTCTGCATACAGCGTGCTACACAGAGTCCCTGGTTTAATCACCTCTTAGCTGTGTCATGACTCTCTCCTGATGCAAAACCCAGCGATGCACCCAATCAGCTAGGGAAACCAGAAATCATTAAACAACTGTACTCTGGAAGAGTCTGGCCAGTCTTTTGTAGTTTCTGTGTATTTATTGGCCCAGGGGAAAAACAGATAAAATCTATAGAAGCTGGAGAAAAGCAGATAAACCATTCGATTTGTATCAGAGATGGGTAGTGCCTTGTAACACCTATCTGTCAGACCGTTCTGGGGAGGGATGCCGCAAGAGTGGAGAGGAATACACAAGGCTGCAACCCACGTTGCATAAGAAGAGCATCTCAGGGCTGGTGCAGAGGAGATGGGCTCATAACCTGCCACAGCCCACTCGTGGAGAAAGTGCACTGGATTCCTCTTGTTCTGGCCATCAGTTTGTTTGCAGAGGCACCTCTCAGAGGAGGAATGAGCTGGATTTCACCTCTCAGAGAAGGAATGAGCTGGATTTCACACAGGCCATGGTGCCCCATAACCTGCGTGATTCCCTTGGTCTGGCAGGAAAGTCATTGACACACAGAAAGCCTCAGGAGGAAGGAGAGCAGAAGAGAATGACTATATACAGTTTTATAGCAGGCAGGTAGCAGCAGAGATTGGGCTCAGTGGGCTGGGCTGGGCTGGACTGGGCTGGCCTCGCTCAGCTTTACTTGATTGGTTTCCTTGCAAGTGGGAAACAACTATTTGCTCAGGTATCACTTGAACAGACCTCATGTTTTTCTTTTATGCTTTTTAATCTTAGCTCTCCTGAAACAAGGATGTCACAAGGTAATATTTGCAAGGTCACGAGGTAACCTGATTTTAAAAACTCAGATCAGCTCATGAGATTAAACCTGCTGATTTACCATACAAGACCAGAGAGTCAAGGATACATAAAAAAACCATTCAGAAAAGAAAAGAAAGAAACTGTGAAACTGTGAAGAAAGTTTCTTCTTTTTTTTTTTTTTTTTAAGCACTGAGAATGTTTGAGAAAAGCAGAGATGTAAAGGGAAAAACTTGGAGCCAGAAGATCCAAACTTCCCCTTGATTCTAAACTTAGCTCAGCCACTGGCCCACCGTGCAGATGACTCACTGCACTTCCTTGAACTTAAATCATTCCTCTTACAAAACTTGTTAAAGAAAGACGTCAGTGTAAATTAGATGTTGTGTCTAAGTTTAGCTGTGGCCGATACATAAATATTGGAACTTTAATGTGTTGTCATTTTTGTCTGATTTAGAAATAGGTTTATATACACATATGCATATGTATATATAGCAAGGGAGAGAAAGATTCCTTTGCGCTATTTTTACAATTTAATTTACATATATTGTTATTTTGTTGGTGATGTAAGAGCTCATAGCTGATTAAAAGTTTAATCATTTTCAGAGCAGCCTGATTCCCACACCACCCAAGCACTCTTCCTTCTCTCAAACTGTCAGGGAAGTTTCAATCCCATCCAAGCGGTGGGAGCTGAGACTATATGTTCGACATATAACATACATGATGGCTGATTTCTTGTGACACTAATCTTTGCTCCTGAGGGAAAGGCAGTCATTTATTCATCACTCTACCACTCGAAAGTAACCATTCTTCTCACCATGGAGATAAATGTCAAAACAGAGATCAGCCATAGGCTGAGTCTAATCTAATCTGTCCAAAATGAATATATATTTAGATTTGTTGTCAAATCTTGAGTGGTAAACCCTTTAGCCTGGGCAACTGTTTTCTTAGTCTGCCCTATCCACCTATAAATACCCATACCACATTGGATATACACTATCAGAGGAACATATTAACTCTGCAAAAATGGGCAAGATATGGGGCTCACCAA